AAAAAAAAACCTTTAGAAAACTTAATCATCCCCCCGCCTTCCACTCCTGCTTAATGCCATATTAGTCATAGATCATCAACAGGACCCACCAGTTTTTTAAAAACACATCGCTTCAATAGTTTTGAGTTCGTCGTTCATAGATTACTGCAATAAACATTACAAGAGGACCCTTAGAGAATCCTAAATATCTCACTTAAAATTGTGTTTCAGTCCGCAAAACTTTAGTCGTAGGCCTTATCAGCTGAGATTGTGGCTGTAAGAACTAAACCTAGTTAGTCTTAATAAAAATTGGCAGTATTTACTGGAAGTTTAAAAAGCTCTACTGATTTTTTAAACGCTATGATAACTATAGATTAGACTACAATTCAAAAGTGGTTTTTCAGTTGTGTTTAATAAAATAGGAAAATATTACACATTTATGTATTTTGACACCTCATTCTTTCCACCTTGTTTCTTGGTAAATATGGGTTAATTTCTCTCTTCTAACTTCGTTTTAGCTTCATGCGCCCTCGAAATTGACTACGAGTCACTGAATGCAACTTCCACAAATCTCATTTCCTAATATTACAAACTACCATTAATTTTCCCATCCAGAGAGGCTCTTTTCTTCAATGCCAGTGTTTTAAAAATCTATATCCAAAACTCAAGACAAGTTCGACAGTTACAAAGTGGATTCAAGCAGCATTAGATACGACTAGCTGCTCTCGTTAGAGCAACTCGCAGTATACGGTAATATATTGCTTTATGTTCAAACAGAAATGATAAACGATTCAACAATTTCCAATTGCTTATATCTCAAGTATTCTTAATTTTGAAGGGAATTGGAAAGCTGTCAATTGTAAAAAATTAATTTCTTCAAATTCTTGCAATCTATATGCAACAGGAAAACTTTAAAACTACTCCCTGTTTTCAGTCATAAGGAAACTATGTTGATCAAACCGCTCCCAAGGCCCCATTAGCCTCCTACAGGAAAAATTAAACATCGATCTTCTAGCGGTGTACAGAACTGTTTGCCAGAGGCAGCAACAACACTACTGTAAATTAAAGTTTTTTAATGAAATGTTGCCAGTTTTCAAGCTTTCACTTTAATTCCGATTTTTTCAAACGATCAGTGACAGATTGATAGGTGTATGTATGTATATGTATATATATACATATAGCTTAAAATGCTGCAGTGTAGCAATTGAGCTTTTGCAACGATAACTCTTTTCGGTTCCTTCAGTTTTTTCATCAGCAAAAGTTTCGCCACCGTTATACCTGGTTTTGGTTTTGTACAACAGTTTTGTGGACTCAGACTGGTTTTGATAGATTTAGGTGTTTATTATGCAGTAACTGCGCCTGCAAGCTGATAAAAATAATTGTTTTCACAGATCTCAATTGATTTTGGCGCTTCAAAGTCCTGCAGCCATATTGTGAAATTTTGCAATTGTATATTTTTTTTGACTTTCAGAGGTCATTTTTAGTCACGAGGATTCCAAAAAATATTGCCGCTTGCAGATCGCATTTTAGCTATAGGCGAACATGATTTTAGTTTCACTTCTACTCCAGCAGAATACCATGAGTTAGTCGTCATTAATTTTTACCTTACCTGATGAATAGTGAACAAAAGGCTACTGTTTAAAAGTTCCAGGATTGTACAGAATACTAACGTTTATTTTCATCTTTTAAACGTATCTGTAAGCTTCTCACAGGCTCCATTTTGTGCGAGCAGCAGTGCCGCACTGGTGTGCCTTACGTGCAGAATGTATTTATTGAGCTAATATTTTCTTAGCCTTCTTATTTGATTGTTCTTATCGGGCGAATTACTTAAACTGTTCATTGGTTTTAGAAGTCTCCAAAAGTTTGTGACTTATACGTTAAGAGATGTGCAGATCCCAGTTAGTTATAGTTTGGGTACAGATTTAAAATGAGTTTTCGTTTGTGGATATTTCTTTTTGCAGTAATTTAGTCTGCTTAAAATATACGCATTTATAATTGCTTTTTGTACTTTTAGTTGTTTTGATGGTTTTTTTACTTGAACTATGTTTGGTGTAACAGAAGCAGTAGTGTTTCAGGTAACTTAACCTAATTGAATTCTGTTTGTGCAGGTTAGGCCGTTCCGATTTTCAAAGGATGGGAGAAAATTTGCATTTTGCAGGTTAGCTTTTTTTATTACTTAGTTCTCTTTCATTTTTAGTATTAATTAATGTGTCATCTGGCCTCCAAAATCAAGTCTCTTGGTTCTCTGTATTGTTTAATAGAGGTGCATATGGTGGTGCTGCAGTTTAGTTTGCTGAGTCAGAAAAGTGCTCTTTTGTCCACTAATTTGCGCTTGATTTTTAACTGTCCTTCATAAACTTCTCGGTTTTTTTGAGAGACTTATACAGTTTCAGAATTTTTGAAACTTTTATTTTGAATTTTGTTTCCCTTAGCAACTTTGCAACTGCATTTTTTTAGACTTCATATTGGTCAGAACTTGTTTTGTGTTTTCTACCAACATTTCTACTTAGGCAGCTTTCTGTTTTATCACCTCTCGTAAGGTATTCAGACGGTCAGAGCGGAGTTGTACATACAGAGTGACCGTTCTGTTACTTACCTTCACAGAGAGGTAAATTAGCATTTGATAAGGAATTTCCTTAACATATAGTTTAGTATTTGTTCGATTTGCTTTTGCATAGATCTGATTAATTTGCTCTTTTCGATAAGTGAGTGCATTTAGACAAGGACTGTAAAGGGCTACAAGCGGTAGTTTAAATGACTTTGTAAGGTCCTAGAAAAGTGCTTTAATGAAAAGAGCATACTTTAGTTTTTAGCTCATCAAACATGAAGTGAAAAGGCATAAATTTTCTGAAGCTGCATTGTATTGATGAAGAGCGAAACAGGAGTCGAGAAGTTTTTGTAAAAGAAGGAAAGAGAAATGTGGACGAAGAAAACACATTTTGGAATAGGGATGGTGAACTGTGTTAGCGCTAAAGCTTTTTTATTTTTTGGTATAATCTGGACTACAGATAGTTGCAAATTAAGGTTTCTTGACCGAGCTCTTAATATTTTATTTTCTGAGCCTTAAGTAAGCAATGAGTTCTTCTATTTCAGGAGGAAGCAGATATTGTTTTGATTTGTTATTTTAAGCTTTTTTTAGAAAAAATATAGTTGTTCGCAGAAGATTAGAAATTTTTGAGGATTTTTTCATCTGATTTACATTACTTAATCAGATCGTCTACTTCTTTTCTGACCAATACTTAGTTATAGTTCGCGGCTCTACTGGATTTTCTATACAACGAGGTGTCGCTCCTCCAAAACCCGTATTCGAAAAAAATGAGTTAGTCTCTAAAATTAGTTGATCTACCGCTGGCTATGCTTTGGAATATGATCTCTTCTTTTTTTTGGTTTTTCTTTATGAGATCTTTCCTATTCCGTTTTGTAAGATTTTGGTATTGTAAGTTCGACATGATTTTGAGTAATCTAAAAAAATTTTCTTTCAGAAATCCGAAGAAAACGCCTTGCCGAGTTTTTCAGTTTGGCAATACCGGTCAATACTTTTGCTATTGTGATTCTGTGAGGTGAAGTTTTGCCCAGCTCAGTCGTCTCTCTAAATCATGAGTTAAAGACATAATTGTATCTGTTCTTGGCAAATTAGCACTAATCCGCTTTTTAAAAACACCGAAGAAACTGGTGTTGAAGTACTGTGCTCTTGTTAAAATTTATAGAGGATTGTAGAGGCTCAGTTTAGAATCTATTTGGTCTTTTTGTTGCATTTGACTGATTTGCAAGACTAGGGATTTCTTAATTTTCTATCTTTCTTTTATCGTCACTTAGCTATCTTTTTTCATTTTAGGACAGTTCTTGTTGAAGCTACGTCAGGAAAAGAAATTTTCAATGTTGATTTGCCTAGGACACAGGAAATTTTATTTTCTCCTCGAGATAGGCTATTGTTAACATTTGAACCTTACGCTATTTATGGTTCTAAAACGGTTTCTTTCTTTTCCTTCGCAGCATTTATTCTTTATCGGAAGAAAACTGTGAGTTAATTAAAAAGCGATCCAGTTTCAGGGCGAAAGTGGTGAAACCAAAGTCCCAGCCCCCAATTTAAGAATTTGGGCTCTCCCTTCCGGCAAGCACTTGAAGACACTCGTGGCTCAAAAGCAGGCATGCTATATTGTTTTGACTTTTAGTTTCTTTGGCTTTGTTTGGCACTGAAATCCGCCGTGATTTGATACAAGATCATAGTTGGAAGCTAGCTGAGGAACGATGGTTTTTTTATTTTTGGGGTAAAATAAGTGAAAAATTTCTGTTCTTCAGCACTACAATTTCAGGCTTCGTGGAAGATTCAGTGGACAGATGATGAAGTTTACTCGATGCGGATGGCTGGTTCCGAAATTTTCATTCATAAGTATAATTCGTTTGGTAGGTTCTAACTTTGGTTGTCTCATGCTTTTTGTTTTACTGTTGTCATGTTTGTTATTTTTGTTTTCTGGGTTTTTTACAAATAATCTTCCTCTAATTAGATCCAAAACAGCTAATTTTCCAGTTGTAAATGCAATTTCAGACAAATACGAGTCGAAACTGGTCATTCAGAAAATTGGAAGTTTTGTATTGAGCCCTGGATCGGAGCCACATCATTTTGCAGCTTATATTCCTGGTACCGGCGGCCAGCCTGCTGTTGTTCAGTTGCGAAGGTTGTTTTTCATGCTTTATTTTTTCATACAACTTTACTTTTTTTAACTTGATTTATAATGGTACTTTATTTCTGTTTTGTTATTTAGGATGGATCATATGTTTACGGTAGTGGCTAACAAAACTTTTTTCAAATGTGACAAAGCTAATATGCTTTGGAATTGTAAAGGTGATGTAATATACTTTTTCACTTATTCTAGTTTTCGGCTGAAATTACGCCGGTTAAATATTGTGCATATTGAGTTCTGGAAGTTTGGAGAGATCATGACTGCGTGATTAAATTTTTAGGTAGTGCTTTAGTGATAATGGCAATTTTGGAAGTAGACAAATCCAACAAAAGTTATTATGGTGAACAAAACCTCTATCTGGTAGCAATCAATGGTGAAAGTTGCATGGTACCACTTGAAAAGAATGGCCCTGTATACTCTGTAAAGTGGAATCCTAACGGGAAACAGTTTGCTGTGTGTTATGGATATATGCCATCTAGGGTTATTTTTATGCTTCAATTTTTTTTTTGTTGCAATTTGTAACTTGGAAATTGAACTCTTTATCAGTTAAGGTTTGCTGCAATTAAATTGGGTTTTCGATTATTTAGATTTCTGAGGTTCCCATAGCTGAACTGCTAAGTTACTTCCGTCTTAAATTGTGTCCTCTTGAAAAAAGTGCTTTTTATTTTTTCCTTATTTTAAGTTATGATTTGCACCAGATATATTGTTAAGGCAAGACGTTAAAGCAATAAATTTATTAATTTCAAACCAATTTCCTCTCTTTTTAGAACTATTTTCTTATGTGTACCTTTCTGCTGATAGCTATTCCCCTGAGTTTTCATACAAAAAATTTATTTTTCTTTAGGTAACGGTTTACAATCTAAAGGGAGACCCAGTTTTTGATTTGGGAGAAGGTCCTCGTAATGAAATCTATTACAATCGATTTGGCAATATCCTCCTTGTTTGTGGTTTTGGCAATATTGCTTCAGGCAGGATGCAGTTCTGGAATACTGAAGAACGCAAGGAGATTGTGCAGGTTTTCTGTTTTTGACAACAGAGCTCTTTAAACCTTTCTCCAAACTAAAGTAGTCTTATTTTTGGGTAATGTTTGAAATTAGGAGTATAGTGCAGAATTCTAGATTGATGTTCCAAATACTACATTGTTTGAATGGGCTCCTGATGGACAACACTTTATTACAGCGACAACTACTCCTCGTTTGAGAATTGATAATAGTTATAGGATATGGAGTTACACAGGTCGTCTGATTCATGAATCTAGATATGATCCACCTGATGAATTATGGCAGGTTGTTTCATTTCGCTAATTGTTTTTTTTCATGACTACTGATTTTTGAAGTACTCCTTATTTTACTTCTTATTTTAGGTCCAGTGGAAACCAATTCCAGAGGGCGTTTATAATCGCTTTCCGGTTGCAACTCTTACTGCAGAAGAAAAAGCTCAAGCTGGACTTCCAGTTGCACAGAAAAGGCTGGAAAATGGACATCCTGTTGACAATCTTCCAGCAGGCGCTATAACAAAGGGTGGAGCTTATGTGCCACCTCATCTTAGGAAGCCTGGTCTGCTTTTTCTTTTTAACTTTGAAGGTCTATATAGGTTTATGAGTTCTGTAGAGGCAATGGGCTTTTTTTCGCTAACAGGACTTTTTTGGTAAATTGGAACTTTTGATGGCCAGTTGTTCCAACAGAAAGTCATTCTGTTGTAGGGAACAAGCACAGTTTTGCGATAGGTATAGCGAGGTACAGGGAACCGGACGTGGAGTTGAATTAGAAAAAAATGTTTTTTAAAATGCGTAACTTGTTGTCAAGCCACGATGAAGATAGTGGAATATAACTGTTTATGAATTTGAATTAGTTAAAGCTATAAATTAACCAAGAGGAATTTTGTTATTTGGCTAGTTCCAAATGAGTTTTGCATTTAGGGATTCTTCATTACTGCGATGATGTTTCTCCCCATTTATGTGGATTGTTTTAAAAAGTCAAATTCGAGGCTTGCTCACAAAGTTCATAAGAGGCGCGCTTAATGAGGATTCAAAGATTCATTGAGATGTTCAGGTGTTAGGAAGAGAGCGTTTTACTTGTATGTTTTAGGCGTCAACCATGAAATAAATAGAAAAAGCCTCTTATTTTCACAGTGTGTAGTGTTTTAACTTTTTGTTTTTTTCTTCTGGATGGTAATTCAATTTTATGAATTGGAATTTGTAAACTCATTTGGATATTTTGTAGTACTGACTGAAACAGTAATCTTATTGCGTTTGATGAAGTCTTGTACTTTTTCATATTGTCATACCTTTCAGGAATATTTAATGGTGTCTAATTTCTTTTCTGCTTTATAGGATCAAAAAAAGGGGCTTTGGTCACCAGTACAGCGAGCGCTAAACCAGGGCTATCCGAACAGGAGAAGAAGGTAGTAGTGTGCCTCAGTAGTAAAAATGTGCTTCGAAACTTTGCTGAAGTCTAAAAATTAGGACTTGTTTTAAAAAACATTTTTAATTACAGATACGGAATCTGCAGAGAAAGATCGATGACATAGCAAAATTGAAGAAGAAGAAAGAAGATGGAATGGTTCTTGAAACTAATCAGCTGGCTAAAATTGAAAAGGAGAGTGAACTAATAGCAGAGTTGCAACGATTGAAATGTTAGTAATGACATACTCAAAATTTTATGTTTCTATTCTGGTAGAGTACGGAACAGTTTGAAAAAAGGATATGGCCGCGAAGCTGCAATTGTGGTATTACTTTTTTTTTCATTTGGTGTTATTGTTTTTACGTTGCTTTTATAGTTTTTCATCGTTGTATAGTCTGAAGGCATTGTTTACTGTTTATTTAGTTTCTACCATATTTTCAAAGTTTTTTTTATTTGAGCACTCAAGAAATTGAAGTTTGTTCGTAACCTGCATGATGTATGTGACTTTATTTACGGTGTTTTTTATTCTGGGGGTTTGATAACTTACCGATTGGTTTACTTGTTCAGGAAGCCAGTTTAATTATGGGGTATAGGGTCATTTACAGGAGTCATCATTAATGTAAATTGGGCGTGAAATCTGAAATAGTTTTTTACCGTGGTCATCAGCGCTAGTTTTTATTTCACCTCCGATGTTACCTTGTTTGTTATTTATTATGACTGAATGCTTGCTATCTCTGAATTGTTAAAAAAAGGTTTTTGTAATGTTAGAGCGCATGTTGCTTTCAATCATTATTTTTTTTCAATAATGGCAGCGTGAGCTTCTTCATTTCTGAAACTCTTGGCATATTTTTGGCTTTTTTAGAATTTAAAATATTTTTAGTTTATAAATTCAAAATACTGCATTCTAAAGCGGGTTAGAAGTATGCATGTGTTTCTACTATATTGGTTGCTCATTATGTTTAATGTCATTTTTACGTTTGAGCCACTTTTTTTACAGTTTGGAAATGTTTTTTTGTGAAAGAATTGTTTTTTTTTGTAAAGAAAGCTTGATTAAAGATTGTTGGTAAGGACTGATTCAAGAGTACTGATGTACAAATGCTGCACGGCAAACATTTTTTCTGGTACTCTGTATCAGGGGTGGGACTGGTTGTGAATTTAAAACTGCATAGCAAATATTTTTAAATCCTAATTTTTGTTCGTTAGGTTGAGTCTCACTGTACAGAAATTGAAAAAGTGTTTTGCGGAAGTTGCATTTTTGAAAGTTCTTGTTTTTCTTAAATTCAGCAAGAGTTTACGTGAGGAGTGATGAGAAGTTAAGTCATTAGAATAGATTTGGTTGCAGTTTATCGATGGCTTGATACTAATTGTGTTAAAGTGTGTGGAAAAGTATCCCAATTGATGACTAACCATTTATCAGGAGTATGCAAGCTCGCATGAAAAACGTCAGATAGTTACTGGAATGAAATTATGTGATTGACTGTGGCATTGTTTAATGCAATGTAATGTATTCAGATATAACATTTTTTGTAAAGGGGCTTAAAATTAGTTCACTTAATACGAAGGAAGTTCTGTATTAAATATGATGGAACAAAGTCCAATGTTTTCATTGGTGGAGCATGCAACATATTTCTTTGAGGAGAGGTTTTTTTGGAAGCGAATAGTTTGTTTGGATAATTAGGTACATTTTATAGAGCGTAATTGCGTACAATTAGCAAACAGTTTGGTTTGTTAGTATGTCTTTGTTGGTCAAATTATTGTATATATGCGTTTTTGGCGTGCATTCATTAGAGTTGTTCTGAAACATTTTAGAAAATTTATTTCTTTCCAAAATTTTTCATTCTATTATTGCTTCTTTTCTTCTCATTTTTTCTTTTTCAAGAACTAATTGCTAAGCAAAGTTTGTTGGGTATGTAGTTTTTTTATGTGGATTTTTTCTGCTGTTGCTTAAATAGGTCTAAAGTTCTTGTTTTCTGAAAAAAAAATTTTTTTCTACTTCTCCTTTTAGTTGAAATAGAATAAGTTTATATTATTGTATTTATTTGACTTTTGCATAAGAAATTACGTGGTTTAATGAAATTAGATGTTTTCCAACTGAAAATAGTTTTTTGTTTATTTGGAACATATTAGGTTTTTTTTGGTTACAGTTAAGTGAATATTTCTGTTTTCTTTTTTTTTGTTTCTCTCACTATTAGCTGTTGGTACTGTTTGCAAAATTCTAGTCATTATTTGCTATTAATAAATAAGTGGAATTGCTTCTCGGACATCGATTTTTTCTTAAAGTATTTGACTAATTTGGTATAATTTTTGTTGCACTAATTACTTCTGGCGGAGTTATGCGAATGAAACTTTTGAATGTCATTTACCTGTGCATCTTTTAGTGAGTGGATGATATTTTTGGTTTTTGAATGTAATTTTTATAACGTCTTTCTATACTATGTATAAAAGGAAAATAAAGGAAAAAAGAAATTTTTTCAAATTTTTTGAAAGATCAGTTGTCAAGAGAACGAAAACTAATTAGGATTTTTGGAATTAAAAAGGTTTATCTTTTGTGATTCTTTTGAGGAACTCTAAAAATCGTTCTTTGCTCATTTTCGGACGACATGATAAACGAGTTAGAAATCTTATTGAAATCGTGTCAACTAATTGGTGCTGATTGGGGAATACTTGCAAAGGAAAGCTAGAGTGATTTTTGCTTTCGGTCTCAATATTGTTAAAAACAAACATCTATGTCACACGTTCTCAGGTTTCACTTATACGATCCTTTGTGCATTATATTACATTTCTGTTCTGCTTCAATCTAGTGCTCTTTAACGGAGGATGATGGAAGTTCCATGAGCTAGCGGGGGTGGTAAAGAGCTTGGAGTCAAAGGAAAGTTTGGGGCAATATCCAGAGTTAATTTGGAAGGTATCAGGGTTTAGATATTTAAGAAGTTAAATGGTTTGGAACCTTAAGAAGTAAAGCAGTTGGAACATAGTAAGAACTTGACGGTGAAATTTAGCAGCATGTTTGTAGGTTGAAAACTTGTGGATACACTTAGCACAAAGAGAAGAGGTGACAAGTCATTAGACGTTTGGAAATACTGTCTTAGTTTAGTTTTTTTTCTTCTTCTGCTTCCAACATGTTTGTTTTTACATTAAAGGATGTGTTACATTTTTAACTCACCAGAAGAATAGCGGGTTTTTTGAAGCAAATATTTTTAAACGTTATCAATATTATTACACTTTGTGTAACACTGAAATTAGGTAATGAAACTATGGCTTTCTTCTGTTCTTGCGTAATGGTTTTAATAGTGCTATCTGCCTACCGCTTAAAAACACACAACAAAAGTCGTTTCCTTAGGACTTGGCATAACTCTTGTCGTATCTGTCAATATCTGTGCATAAGGTTGATGGGCATTAAAGGAGAAATAAAAAACTCACATGACTACTGAATCGCTTGGAAAAAAAAGAAATTATGCTAAAGAGAGAACAATTGCGAAGCGGCTTTGGAACAACGACAATGAAAAATCCACTTTAAGCCTAAAAAAGTTCTGCTCCTTGGAGAAAAAAGCGAAAAAATCGAGTGATGAGGTGAAATTTTTATCGTTCAATGAAATCGCTTTTCCAGTAAAAGTTTTTAAGTTCTAATTTTCGGTTTTAACTCTACCAATTAATAATTTTTTTCAATAAAAAGCATGGCAATTATTACTCCCTGTTACTAAAACTTGATAAGGTTTTTTAAGCAACAATTCAAAATTGCTTTCTCGGACATTTAATTCTTGAGGCTAGCTTTGCTTCCCAGACCCACAAGAAGTAGTTTATGTCATGACTTGCTAAAAACTTCAAACAACAGCATATACTCCAGATAACTGGTTATTTGGACATCGCCGAGCCTGATGTCGAGCAGGTGTCAAATTCTGAGGCCGGTGCTGAATATAATTCAGCTGTGAACACTGTAAGGTATAAGGTCAATTTGAAGAAACATTTTTATTTGTGCTCCCACAAGGTTAGAGGTATTTGTGTAATTTCGGCGGCATCAATTTTCTACATGTCACTACTACGCTTAAAGGCGTCAAAGGTTAGTTTCAAAAAATTTGCCTTTGTAAGTCCGATAACTTTTCTAGAATCGGACAAGTCACTTACTCTTAGTTTCATAATCACTGAAAAAACTGGTGCAAAAGAGATTGTTATTTTTAAAAATGGAATTCGAAGCGTTGAAGGCGAAATATGCACAAAAATTTTTGACAACTGTATAAACGATAATTTCGGCTTAGAGGTCCAGCAAAAGACATTTACCAAGCTTCAAATATACAAACTGCTTTCCAATAGCGGTTACCAGTATGGGAACCCGTTCACAGTAATCAAAGAGTCCCATATTGATTCTTCAGAAGGTTATGCTTTAATGGAAGACAATGCAAGTTTGGATGTTATGATGGACGGTGCTTTACAGGCCATTGTACACGCCTGTCTTATACAGTCTGGAGAAAATGCAGTGTACATTCCATTTTATTTCGGTCGAGTTCAGATAATTACAAAATGGAAGTCATCTTTAAAACACTCAGCTGTATCTTTTAGATTTGAAATTGAAGAAGAACGTTTTTTAGGACAGTTTACACTAAGCGGGCCAAACTTTTGTATTACGGGATTAGATATAGAGTTTCGAAAGCTGCGAGCCTGCTTCTTTGAAAATATACTTGCAAATCCACAAAGTGATTTACTGGTTAAGAAGAGAAAGAATTTGAAGGCGGACATGAAATATGCAATACTGGCCACTTCTTGTCGTCTACCATATAATATTACGAACTTGCCGGAGTTGTGGGACGCTCTGAAAGTTGGTCGAAACTCTGCAACAAAAATACCTTGCTCTCGTATCCCTACAAGAGACAATTTGCTTAACGGAAATCATGGTTCAAGAATTATCAGAGCAAATTTTTTAAAGAGTGATGTTGCGCAATTTGATGCACGATTTTTTGGAATGTCAAAAAGTGAAGCGGAGAAGACTGATCCACAGCAAAGGCTTTTATTAGAATGTGTCCACGAGTGTCTGGAAAATGCCGGTCTAAAGAGATTCCATAATGTTGGTATGTTCATTGGCTATATGGGGACTGAATATCTAGATAATGCAGCTGAACAAGAAGACGCAATTTTAATGTTAGGCAATAGTGCATCCGCCGTTTCAGGTCGCTTAAACTATTACTTTAAAAGCCGTGGCCCCGGAATTACTGTAGATACTGCATGTAGTTCGTCGCTGGTTGCTCTAAACTTGGCCGTTAGCGCCCTAAGGCAAAATGAATGTTCTATGGCAATTGTTGCCGGGGTGAACCTAATGCTGTCAGAGAGAGGTATCGGTCAGCGTTCTAACGGCAAAATGCTTTCGACAGATGGGTACTGTAAGTCTTTTGACGTACATGCGAATGGTTACGGAAGAGCTGACGGATGTGTTGTCATACTAATCGGACCCATTCGCAATAATGAAACACGGCCTTGGCCTAATGTTTTTATTGAAACTTGTTCTGTAAATCATGGTGGTCAGAGCGCATCGTTTACTGCACCAAGCAGTAAAGGTCAAGAACAATTAATAAAAAAAATTTTGTTGCCTCAGAACGGTCACATAACTTTCTGGGAAGCTCATGGGACTGGAACAGTTCTCGGTGATGCGGTTGAGCTCAGTGTACTAGAACGGAATTTGTCATCTTGTTGTCTAGGAACTGCTAAAACTAGTATTGGACATACAGAAGCAGCAGCTGGTGTACTAGGACTTTCAAAGATTTTTTTGCAAATGCAGCACAGTTACGTGCCTTTACACTCTCATTTCTCCGCACCAGGACCTGCAACCTCCGGTTCGTTACGTTTTCCCATTGTTGGTGAAGACTGGGACGGTTTGGTAGCGGGAATTAGTTCTTTCGGTATCACCGGTACTAATGCCGTTGCTACTGTTAGAAAGCAAGACCGCTGTAGGGTCGGGAGACATCATTTCATGTTACATCCTTCCATCTATCCTCTGTCTGCTGAAACTCGTTGGTCTCTCTACAAATGCATTCAGGAAAACCTCAAATTTGTATACTGTAGCAGTCACAGTTCGAAACTAATATGCTCGTCAGCTGTTAACAGAAATCTTTCTATGAAGGAAAAAGCTGTTATTCTTGTACATAACCCAGTAAAGGTAGTTTATGCAAATGTTGAATCTTCGGGTATACAACTGAATCTTCAGATTGACATCAATTTACGCTGCTTAGCAGCTGTAATTCATTACTGTGCTACGTATTTTAACATCAGAAAATATTTCTTTAAAGCAGTTGCTTTGATTGGCAGTTTGATGGACATAAAAGAACAAAAAAGTAGCAAAAAAAGCATTAAATATTGTTATATTTTTGCATTGCAGCTAGCGATGCTTTTATTTTTAGAAAAGTTAGGAGTTAAGATTAGTCAAATTAATTTTTCGAAGACTTTTTCTGTTGTTCCGCTAGTCCTCTTTCTCAGGTACAAGTGGAAGCGTAATGGTTCTAATAATTTAGTTCTGAAGGACATAAACGCCGCCTTATCACTTGATTCAAGACTAGTTCAACAAAAATTGAACGAATTATTGCTGAAGCTGACACAGGCAAATGTTAGTCATTCAGGCCTAAAGACAGTTCATCTGACTTTTGCTAAATTACTTCAAAAAGATTGTGTTCGCAGGTTAGAAAACAAGTTAGCTTCGTATTATATACACGGAGCAAAAGTAAACTGGAGGGCTATCTACAGTGAACCGTCTGCGAGAGTTACATTTCCTAATTATGTTTTTCATAAGAAAACTTTCTGGTGTACAAAACCAAATCGAATCTATGACAACGAATTGATTGGGAGTCCTATAAGCAAAACAAAAGACAAAATTATATTCAAGAATTTTGTGTCACGGTTAAACTGCAGATGGGTGTTTGAATGTTATTCTGCAGGTAAATTTTGTATTCCCTTCACTTTTTATTTGAATGCAGTTCTGGAGGCCTGTAAATGGTTATTAAAAAGAAAAGATTTGGAGGTTACCATTAAACTTTCTGATTTTCACTACAGTGAAGTTCCTGTGAAAGAAGATTTTTGGATCCAAACGACATTAAAAAATTTGGGAGAATTTCATTATGAAGTCAGAATAGCGAGAAATAATCGGCAACTAGCTTCTTCAGGAATATCTTTTGCTACTAAAGCTTGCCAAAAAAACCTGACGCTGGATGATAACTGCTTAAGACCATCGCCAAATTTTTATGCAAGTCTTTCACAAAGTGGTTTTCAATATTTTGATCATCTGAGGTGTATAACTCATCAAACGCCATCGAAAGACTGCTATAAATTAACGGCAAGCTCAAAATACAAGAATTTATGTTCGTTTGAAGCAGCGCTACAAGTGATGCGTCAGAAAATGAATACTCATATTGATTCTTCAGATAAAACTCTTAAAGTTCAAGAAATAAGCCTTACTAAATGTTTCACAACTATAACGTATATAGTATCAAAGGGGCTAAGTGTCAGTATATATGATGCTGTTAAAGGTTATTGCGGCATCATGAAGTTCACACTTAAAGCCGAAGCTGCAAAGGAACGCACATTACCTGCACCGATCACTAGTAGAACTACTCTAATGACGCCAAATAAAGATTATGCGAAGGGAAGGGCCGGGAAGCAGCTTTGGTGTAAACTGAATATTTTGGATGCCTTAAAGTCCGCTATATCAGATGTCTCACCGTTCAAAATAGTTTTTGATGAAGCAACATTATCGATGTCACTCACTTCGCTCGGATTTGATTCATTGACAATTACTGACTTTGTAAATCGGCTAAGGAAAATTTATCTTCCAAAGATAAAAATAAATGTTGCTGATGTTCTAGAGCACTCAAGCATTTTAGAGCTTGCTCGTGCGATAGAATCCCGCATGCACGCGATGGATAAAGCTGTAGCAACCTCTGACAGTAACTTTGTAAAGACTTCTCGACTTTTTGATGAAGATGTGTCTTTTAAAAACAGTGTTACTCTTTGTCAATCAAGAACCTCGCTCTTTGGCGAAGTACCGCTGAAATGGAACGATGATTTGCCAAAGGAACTAATAATAACTCTTTGTAACGAACCGTGCCATCAGAAGCAAACAATCGTTTGCAGCGAGACTTCTCAAGCTTATTGCATTTCCAACAAAGACAAAAAATACGTGTTCAGTTGGATGAATAATTTGACAACTGCAAAAGCAATGAAAAAAATGTTTAGAGCTGGATATGCACATTTCATAAAGTTTAATTTTAATGAAAATTTCTCAGTGGAACAGTTGATTATTATTTTGCTAAATCTGGCAAATTATTTTATTGAAAACAGGGTCTCGGTCACCTTTTTAGAAAGTTCTGCCAACAACAGAGCTAATGCATTCGCGAAGGGGTTTGCAAAAAGTTTTGCTGCCGAGTATTATCCGCAGATAAGTTTTCGCTACGGATTTCGTCTAGAAAAACTCGATTCATTGACAGAAAGTTCAGCCTGGTCAAAGTCTTCTGAGGAGGAACATTGGTTGATTACTGGTGGTTTAACTGGAATAGGTTGGGAAATGGCAAAATGGTTGCTGAAGTGGCCTAATGTAAAGCATATAACTCTGATTGGTAGGAGGAGGATTCGAAAAGATTTGCTGCCGGAGCTGTATTTACTGCGGAAAAAAGCTGAAATCAATATCTTCCAAGCTGATGTCAGCAGCATATTTGACATGGAGCAACTCTTTAAAAAAATGAAACCAAAACTAACAGGCGTTATTCATAGTGCAGGCATAAAAGCTGATGGGGTCCTCAAGACATTGAAAAAGGAAAATTTTGAAGAAGTCCTGAAGGCAAAATATTATGGAATCATATTACTAATGAAAATGATTCAGAAATACCATCATAAACCCAGAAAACTTATTTTGAATTCGTCAGTTGCAGCAGTCTTAGGCAATCGTGGACAATGCAGCTATACAGCAGCATGCTGCCTAACTAATCAGGTTGTTAAGGAGTTAAATTTTAATGGTTTATCAACAACCATAATAAACTGGGGTAACTGGTTAGAGACAGGAATGGCGTTACCTGTGAATCAATATTTAAGGCATCTTGGTTTTGAGGGTTTAACTAATAACGAAGCGGAACGATGCTTTGACCGCATTGTTCACTCAGACGTGACAAATGTCACTGTGGCAAATATTGATGTAAAAAAGTTACTTTTGAAACGTCCAGAATTACGGCCAGTTTTTTTTCAAGACTCACCTCAAAAACATAACGTGATTTTTATGGCGAAAAGAGAGGATTATGGTGATAAGGCTTTTGCCAACAATAGCTTCAAAAATAATGCTTCTGTAGCGGACGATCAGGAAGGAAAAGAACTCGCTACTATTAAAAAAAAAATTGCGCAAACAGTTGAGCAGCTGTGTCATACAAAAATTACCCCTTCTGATTATGACACAGGTTTCATAGAACTGGGACTTGATTCGTTAAAACTTTATATCTTTATAAATAAATTACAAGGGGTTTTTAAACGTGCAAAATTCATTAACATTTTATTTGTATTTGAAAATCCCACCATCAACCAAATGGCAAAATCGATAAGTAGACTTTGTGACGCTTATTTGACTCACATAAAACCAACAGAAGTGAATCATTTCTATGGGGATACCAAGCGAGTACATCTTGACAGAAATTGCGCAGCAGTCTGGTTTGAAAAGAACGGTATGCACAGTATGGAAAGCCTGAAATATCAGATCCAAACGACAGATAAAAATCAAAAATTATTTACCGACACAGAGCTTCAGACGAGACGGCCTCGGTACTTCGCCATCACCGGCAGTAATAAGCAGCAGCTGTTAAAGAAAATTAATAATTTTATAAAGTTAGAGAAGACACATTTAAAGAAACCGGTAATATGCTTTATTTTTCCAGGTCAAGGGTCGCAAGTTTGGAACATGGGAAAACAATTATGCGAAGGATTCGCTTTATTCCGTTATCATTATGTTAGGGCTTTAAAAAATGCGCAAAAATTCTTTACAGCAAAATCGCCAAACTTCTGTGAAGCTCTCTTTGAATGGGATAAAAAAGAGAATTTATGCAAAACTGATTATGCCCAACCAATTCTTTTCTGCTTCTGTTATTCTCTAGCAAACTTACTGAGCTATTTTGGCGTTAAAGCGAAATACTTTTTAGGCCAGAGTGTCACCGAGCTTGTTGCTTATACCTTGAATGGAATGATAAGCTTGAGTAACGCGCTTGAGATTGTTGTAGAACGCGGGAAAGCATTGAGCTCTTCGTCAGGAAAAGGTGGCCTTTTAGTGACCAATCGCAAAGCAGCAAATTACCTTGTGAAGAAAGTTAAAGTTGATGTTGCTTTAAACAATAGTTCTAAGCAAGTAGTACTGGTTGGGACAAGAGATCAGTTAAAGCAGTGTATAATGTACAACCGAAAAAAAAACTTTCCTTCAATGATTTTGGATGAGTGTTATCCATTCCACTCTAAATTACTCAAATCTGGAGATAACGTGGAAAAATTTAAAAAAATTTGCCAAAAAATACCATGGGTAAGGCCCAAAAGTCCGAAGGTTGTTTCTAATGTTGATGGAAAGTTAATTACGAGATTGAACACAGAAAAAATTATCCAGCAAATGCTTGCGCCAGTTGAATTTGAGAAGTGTTTAAGAACCCTGAATACCGCGGGAGTGAACCTTTGGTTAGAAGTGGGACCCGATAAAACAGTAAGCTCCATAATACATCAAGAGTTTCCTAATGCAACAGCTTTTTCAACGCTATGTAACTCCGATCTAGAAGTCCCTTCATTTTTAAAGTGTCTTTCTAAACTGCAGAATGCTGGCTGTAATATTAGATGGAACAGATTATTTGAAGAACGCCTTCCTTCTGAGAGCAATAAAATTAAGAATTTTCCGTACAAAAAACGAAAAGTAATATTTCCTTTGAAAAACGAGCATTTATATGACGGTAAACCTCTTCTTCCTGCAGCTTTCCTAATCTACTTTTTTGCAAAGAAAGCAACTTTCTGCCTGAATCAAGACTACACAAAAAAAATATTGTTAAAAAATTTTCAAATTTCTGAGCCATTGTCAGAACTGAGTAACATTAAATTCACGATTGATAAACTTAATAAAACTATGGAACTGTCAAGAAATGGGATTAGATACTGCTGCTGCATTCCAGCAAAAAAAATTATAAAATTTCGAGACCTCTCCGTGGTAAATCAGTTTACTGGAAAGAGCTCGTACAAAGTACTAAATCATAATGACTTTTACGAAGGCCAGCGAAACTTTGGGTTGCAATATGGTCCGAATCTGGCAGTTCTTAGAAAAATCAGAAGAACCAGTACAAAAGTAATCGCGGAAGTGGTAACTTCTCCAAACCCTGTGGTAATAATAGACGCAGCACTGCAAGCATTGTCGGCAATTCTTTTTGACAAAAAACGGGCTGCCGTTTATTTTCCTACAAGCGTTGATTACATTATTCTGAATTTGGAGGCAGGTCTGCAGAGCAGCTATAGTAGCCACAGTGCCAAATTTAAAGTATATGGAATGCTAACAGACGTGAAATCCCTTACCATACGTGGCGATGTTCTAATTAAAAAGAATGAGGAAATGTTCTGCGTGCTGACAAATGTGACCGCGTTTATTAAGCGATTATGTAATGGTACTATGTATCCGAAAGTCACAACGAAGAATGACGTGATTTTGAGAAATCCCCGAGACATATTAGACAAGAGCTGCTGCATTGCACAGAGTTCCCTTGAACTGAACAATCATCCGCATGGAATGAGGAAATATAAAGATACTAGTGAAAGTGAAAATTCAAAGAATGTCTCCGAAGAAGAGATTCACATTTTTGGCTGCTCCTGCATACTGAGTTCTTCATCAGAAGATGGTAAGCTTTTCTGGAGTGATATGAAAACTTGTTTGATCGACAGTGTTACCGATCGTCTTCAGGAAGATAAAACTCGTTACCTGAAAAAAGATCTCAGAGAAATGGATTGTAAATTTTTCAATATCAGTCCAGTAGAAGCAAAGTTCATCGACCCTCAACAGCGTCTAACGCTTGAAGTTGCCTACCGTGTTATGGAAGACGCTGGTTTGAAAAAATTCGATTCAAGTACAGGAGTCTTTATTGGAGCAAGTTCAAATGACTTTGCTCAGAAATTGTACAGCGATACGCACTTTTCGAACCATTATTTGGGAGCGGGTACAAATAACAGTGCCATTGCTGGAAGGATTTCTTATTTTTTTAACTTGCACGGTCCTTCAATGGTCATTGATACTGCTTGTTCGTCGTTTGCCGTGGCTTTATCTACTGCTTGTGAGTATATAAAAAGAGGTCATTGCAAAATGGCCCTTGTCGGTGCAGTCAATGTAATTCTTAACTCAAGGCCTTCCGAGGTATTAAGGGAGTCCAACATGCTATCGCCAGACGGTCTCTGTAGATCTTTTGATGCAGATGCGAATGGATACGTGCGATCAGAAGGCATCGGTATGATGTTAATTGGAGAGTATGATTCTGAATTGTTTGCACCATACGCTTCCATAGTCGCGTACAAAGCGAACCATACTGGCAGGACTGGCGGAATTACTGTGCCGAGTTGTCTTGTGGAGGAAGAAATTATGAATTCAGTGCTGCGGAAGTGTGATGGAGAAAAACTGTGTCATGTTGAAATGCATGCAGCTGGTACTGCCTTGGGCGATGCTATTGAAATGACGGCGACAAGTAATGCTGTTTCTAAGCTGAAGAGGGTTGATAAAGTTTGTTTCACATCAACAAAAAGTATTGTAGGGCACTGTGAAGCTGCAGCTGGCTTTGTGTCTCTACTCTGCGCTATTAATTGTCTAAAAAACGAATATATTCCGGCAGTGCCGCACTATAAAGTAAAGAAGAACTTTCATTGTAAAGAAAACTTTGTAATTCCTTGTGTCGGAGAGGAGATTAAGAAGAACAGTTTTTCCATGGTCAACGTGTACGGATTTACAGGAGCGAGTACTTCGTTTCTCCTCAATAGTGGAAATTCGTCAAGTAACGTCAGCAGACAAAACAGGTTATCTCTGCCTCCCTATCTTATTGTTTTCTCAGCAAAAACAAAAAAGTCTCTTATCAAAAATAAAACCAATTTGGGCAAATATCTTCAACAAACAGATTCTCATCTGAAAGATGTGTCGGCGAACCTCCAGTTAAATAGACTGCATTATCAGTTTAGAACAGCTCTAATCTATAAAAATCATAGGCAAAGTTTGTCGCTTAGCTGTGGTAAGGAAGTATTACCAAAGGTAAATCTTGACCACGTCTTTAAAAAAGGTTGTTACTGTTTGGTAAATACTAAGATTCTAATGAATAGTTTCCGGTTTTTCAGAAAGTTGTATAATTATTGTGTTAATGTAATTCAGAAAGGTTCCAGGTCCGAAAAAGACACATCTTTGCAAAGAAGCAGCACATTCTACAAAACAGTAAGCAAATTTGTGTTTATAGTTTACCTCTGCATACTAGGGGTAAGTCGGAGCTTCCTTCTCCAAAAGGACAGGATTGGGAAATGGTTAATAAAACTTTTTGAAGAAAGCAATGATTTGAAAACGAATATTTCTTGCGAAGATCGCAGAAAGTGTGTTGTTAGAACAGCACCAGGTAAAGCAAAAAGCATTTTAAAACAAAAACTTGTCGTCGTGGAGCGAAAAAAAGATTTACCAGGAAGCAAAATGTTAAAAAAACATAAGCATTCAATTTATTCGAAGAATGGTGAACATGGCAAAAGTGTAATAGAAAATATAGTTGAAGTGCTAGCTTACTTTTACGTTAAAGGAGTCAATATAAAATGGCAATTTTTAACAGAACGAAGCAGAAGCCGAATTGAATTACCCAACTACGAGTTTGAATATACTAAATGTTGGCCATTTGACGATCACTGTAAAAAAAATGACGACGAGAAACGTAGAAATAACTTGACATTCACTGAGGAACCAAGCAAAATAAAAGGCTTTTTGGATGGTTCATTTTTGTTAGATAGTGACTTACACAACGGTACGGTATCTTATAAAGTCCAGAATCAAAAAAGATGGCGCAGTGACTGCTATTTCCAAAGGCAGTATTATAGACGTGATATAACCGAACCGGATACATTTGTGAAATTCATTGCAATAAATTTTCGAAAAAAGGAAAGACTCAAAAATGTTGTCAAATATATCGATATAGAAAACGAATGCCAATATAAAATGTTCAGAAAAGCTATTTTGCTTTCAAGATGTACAAACGTCGTCTTTAACTGGCAAACAAATGGAACCGATGACGGTGTGATTCAGAACTGTCTTTCTGTAATAAAACTGTGGCACATCCTAAGTAAATGTTGTTTCAAGCTTCAGCAAGAGGCCGGTTCGTTCTGCGTACGTTTTTGGAATAAGAAGAGTTTGGCCAACAGAGGGCATACTTCAAACGGCTGTATTGCTCTTTTGAGGTCGTTAGGCGCTGAAACCACTAATGTTATATATCGTTATGTAGAATGCAACAGCTGGATAAAAAGTATACCTGCTGAAATATCCTCTAAAGAAAGTGAAAACGAATGTGTCATCTATAAGAGTGATAAACGTTTTGTCGAAAGGATAACTAAAACTCGCTCTCCAAACTTCAGTGAGGATGCTTCTATAACCTCAAGGACCATTTTGTTTACTGGAGGTTTTAAAGGAATTAACACAAAACTACTCCTAGAGCTAGCGCCTGAACAGGCAGTTTTCGTTACCACAAGTAAACCAGAAATGTCACTAATTAATTCACTGAAGGCCTCGACTAAAGTAAAAATTAATGTGATAGAAGGTAGCTGTGCGGACACTGTAATTATGGAAAAAGTTTTCCAGGAATATAGTCCGATAAGCTTGGTTGTTCACTCCGCGGGAAAAGTTAATAACAAACTAGCAGGCAAAATGACAACAGATGCTTTTGAGGATGTATTTACACCTAAAGTTGCAGGTATACGGTGCTTACTAAAAATGTGTAAAAAATATAAGGCTGGAGAGCTGGTAGCGTTGTCTTCCATTGCGGCTGTTTTTGGCTCACCCGGTCAAGCCAATTATGCTGTGGCCAACTGTCTCATGGAACAGATAATGGCTGAAAACAAATTTGGAAAATGTTTCACCTGCGGACCATGGGATGACGTAGGTCTGTTGTCAGGAGAACATCGGAGTGGTATTAGAAAACAAATTTCTTCAGAAGGCTGGATATTCTTGGATTCACAGTTAGTTGCAAGGTCTATCGCAGCATTACTCAAAGAACGCACTGGTTACTTTATCTTTCGTGCTGACGTAAAAAGACTTGTCGAGTCCCAAAGACACCTGTCGCATTTGCTTGAACACCTCGCAGAACCAGTTGTAAAGGTAAATCTCAACTCTGACACTGGAGCTGAACCTTTGAAAATTAAGTCAGTCATTTTACAGATAATCAGAAAGCATACCGATATTAAAGTTTTGGACGAAAATAAGGGGTTAGCGAGCATGGGCATTGACTCGCTAATGACGGGTAGAATCAGGGAGCACTTGTCGTCGGTAATCGGCATGGAGCTTCCGGTAACGGCATTTTACGAAAACTGCACCGTCAAATCATTGGCAAAATTCATCGACGCTATGTTAAGTAAACGAAGAGAAATGAGACCTACAAAACTTCTAAAAAACAGTGAAAAGTCTTCTAAAGAAGACTTACGTGACTGTCTTGCTAATAAAAAAGTCGAGAAAAGCAGGACTTTAGAATCTATTAGTTCAAGACTACTACATCTACCTCGCAATAAAGGGATGTCTGAAAAAATTGCTATCGTTAGCTATTCTGGTGCATTTCCGAATGCAAGTGACGTTGAAGAGTTTTGGGAAAATTTACTCGTTGGTGCATCGAATCTTCCGAATACGAATACTAATAACGGCACAGATAAGACTGAAACGCAGACTTGTTATTTGATACCTAATTCAGAGATGTTTGATTATAAATTTTGGAATCTTACAAAAAATGATGGTATTTTGATAGATCCGCAGATTAGAAAATTTGTAGAGCATGCTTATTTTACGCTAGAGAAATCCGGTTTACTATTTGACAAAGAATGGATGAATATTGGAGTTTTCGCTGGTGCTGAACCTTCGGAATATTTATGTCCAAGCTTTGGAAACGACGACTTATTAGAGAGAATGTATTCTAAAAATCAAAAAGATTTTGTTGCAGCTTGGACTTCAAAACTTTTAAATTTAAGGGGGCCTTCCTTAAGTGTTTACTCTGCTTGTTCAACAGGACTTGTAGCGGTTGCAGAAGCCATTTTGTATTTACAAAGCCACAAATGTGACGCTGCTATAGCAGGAGCGGTATCATTAATGTTTCCAGCAAGTAGGGAAGTAGCACACAGGCGGAACGGGGTCTTCTCAGAAGATAAGATCTGTAGGCCATTTGATGTCGAAGCAAATGGAACAATAAGAGGGTCAATGCTCGGTGTTGTTCTACTGATGAGAGTAAAAGATGCTGTTAAGCAAAGAAGACCTGTTGTAGGCATCTTGCGTGAAGTTTCAGTCAATAATGATGGGGCAGAAAAATCGAGCTTTATGGCTCCAAACGTTAAAGGTCAGCAGCGCTGTATTGAACATGCAGTAAAGCTATCCGGTGTACCAGAAGTTGAATTCATTGAATGCCACGGAACTGCAACAAAAATTGGCGACTTAGTAGAGCTGGAAGCTCTGAGTCGAGGTTATCATGGAAAGTCAACTCTTGGATCTGTGAAAGCTAATATTGGGCACGGTTTCGCTGCTGGAGGAATGGCAGGATTAATAAAACTTTGTAAGGTATCTGAGAGTCGAATCATTCCAAAACAAATCCATCTAAAAAAATGCATCGGCTCGTTTGCAACAGACAAATTTGTAGTACCTGTAGAAAATCAAAGTATTAAAAAAAGTAACTTTAATCTTGCCATCAGTTCCTTTGGTGTTGGAGGCACAAATGCACACTTAATTATGGAGAGCGTTAGTGATTGGCATAACAGAAGAGACGAGTCCACGAAATACTATGTGTTGCCAGTTTCTGCAGCAGCAAAGGAGTCATGTCGAGAGTACTGTCAACAGCTAGCAGAATATCTGAATTCCAAATGTTTATTGTTTGGCGTAGCGTCAACTCTTCAGAATTATCGCCCAAACTACAGGTATCGAACGTATATCGTTGCTCAATCGGTTAAGGAGGCTCAGAAAAAGCTAAAAATGGCTGACATTTATAATGCAGAAAAGCTTACTAGAAAAAATGTTGCTTTCTTCTTCGCACCTCAAGGAGTCCAGTATGCTGGAATGGGGTTTTCGTTTTTCAAATACGGAAAAGTTTTTCGTAAAAGAATTAAAAAGTATAATGGAATGGTAAGACAATTACTAGGTTTAGACCTGTTAGAAATTCTATTCTGCGAATCAAAAGGGCTCATCATGAACGAACAATATATTCAAGTTGCACTATTTTGCTTGTGCCACGCTATTGTCAAAGAACTTGAGTACCGTGGTGTTACCCCTTCCGTATTGATAGGCCACAGTCTTGGCGAATACGTTGCAGCTGCCTGTGCTAATGTATTCTCCGTTGAAGACGGAATCAGACTGTTACTTGAGAGAGGAAGACTTTGTACCGAAACGAAATCAGCGAGTATGATTGCAATCAAAGGATATTATGAGGAACTTCCAGACGAAGTCCAAATCTGTGCTGTTTTGAATGATCAACTGAAATGTGTTGTTGGGGCTGAAGCAGATATTAAGGCTTTCTGTAACGTTCTGCAGCAGAAAAACATTGATTTCGTAAAAATGAAAACTGAACGCGGCTTCCACAGTTCTTATATGGACCAGATATTGGGTCACTTCAACAAGTTCTTGCGTGATTTCTCATTTCAGAAGCCTGAACTGCCAATTCTTTCAAATGTCGATGGAAAAATCATTCAGAATTTTAATGCAGACTATCTGCTACAGCATATTAGAAGCCCAGTTCGTCTTGACAAATGCTTAGACAGTTTGCCAGCCTCTATTAAAGTGATAGTAGAAATTGGACCTGCGGGAATTTTGAAGGCTTTGATACAACAAAAAAAATCCTTCGTAAAAGTTGTTCAAACAGTACCGTCAGAGAAGAATAGTAACACTGATACGCACTTATATTTGAACGCTTTAGGGGAACTTTGGTGCTATGGGTTACCTGTTAGTTGGAAAGGCTTTTTTGTAGAGCGACCGCCAAACGTTCGATTACCAGGTTACTGTTTCCAGCAAAATCACTTGATTTCTGTGCCAAAAGAAGCAGAAACTGAAGAACTTGGGTATTGTTTATTCGAACCATGTTGGAAAGATATAAAAATGTCACTGACTAGAAAGCTCTTTGGTAAAACGATAGTTTTTCTTCCGTATCGGATGAACAAGGCCTTGTCTAATTTAATGAGAGATCTGCACAATTTCTTCGTCGACTACTTATGCATATATCCATCAGATAACAGTGATACTCCTTTGAAATACACACCCGTTGGTGTTCAGATTAATCCTCTTCATGAAAATGCTTATGAAGAGTTACGGCGGCTTCTCAAAGAAATTGGATTTAATTTTACTTTAATTATACAGGCCTGGAATTTTGCAAATGACGATTTAAAAGATGGGCATAGCTATAATAAGATTCTCCTTTGCAGCTTTTACTCCTTACACTGGATAAAAAAACATTTAATTAACACAGGTAACTGTGAAAATTTAACACTGTTGACCCTTCTAGACAGTGAGGGGCCTGTGGAATGTTCTACTGCACTTGGACCAATCCAAGAGCTTCAAAATCTTTATCTGTCAATGAAGGCTTTTTGCATAACCACATCGAGAGATTCAAATTTGTTCAGAATTGTGCAAGACTGTTATTACTCTAACAAGGATTACACAATGTCTCAAATGCGACAGCAGCAGCGTGGATATCAGGTAGCAGCGTACAAAGAAAACCTCTACTCTTGCAAAGAAAATTTGGTGAAAGATAATGACACTATTCTTGTCTTTGGAAGTGGAGCTCTTGCAACTGCATTTGCAGATGTCATTCTTAATAAATTTAAAAATTTGACCCTCATATTTGCCAGCCGAAATGCCGAAAGGCGTTATAAAACTTCGGAAATGAAAAGCTGTATGAATCGCTGGGAGAATACGGAGAACAACAGGATTTTATTCCGTGACATCAATTTAAACAACGCAGAAGATGTTGCATCGCTTATCGCCGAAATAAACAAAGATTACGGGCTGCATGTGGTAATTCACGCAGCAGGTCTAGCAACCACTCAAAGTATTGAAAAAGCCGCAAAGGAAACTGAATCAGTTATAAATATTAAAGTTAAAGGTACTTTGAACATCATAAATGCACTAGTAGAGAGCGACATTATTCTAAACAGTTTAATATTGACGTCCAGCTTAAGTTCTACTTTAGGTATATATGGTAATGACGATTATGCAGCTGGCAACATTTTTCTTGACACCTTTGCCAGTCGATCATATCCAAATGTTAAAAATTGTATAAGTGTCCAGTGGCCTGCCTGGGAGGAAAAAGGCATGTTGGCAAATTCCATTGAACTACTTCCAGTATTTATGAAAAAAATTCTATTAGAGTATACATTGTCTGAAAATAATGGAAAAATATTATTCGAAAGAGTACTAAAAGTGAAAAACAGTGTTGCTATCTGCCCCGTTAACCCGATAATTTTGGCTGCAAATATCGGTAAATTGCAGGCTGAAGAAAGGAGAAAGCCAGTCGGTGATTCTAGTGAAGATAAACTGCTGACCAAAAGTAACATTCTAGAGCAGACTATCGCTGCGATATGGAAGCAGTGTCTTTCCGTAGAAAAAGTCAAGCCCTCAAACAACTTTTTTGAACTAGGCGGAAATTCGCTCAATGGACTGCAGATTATTTGGGAAATTGAAAAACACACCGGCCTCCGGTGTACGTACAAAGATCTTTACACAAATCCAACATTTGAAAGTTTTGTTAAAAAACTGGCTTCTTTTACTCCCAGCGATTACAAAAAGACGATACCAAAAACGGATAAGCTTGCCATTCTGCCACTTAGTTTCGCACAAGAAAACATGTATTTGTTACGCCAAGTTTGTTCGCCATGCCAGTATAACATCATTTTTTCCATAAGGTTTCATGGGAGCATCTGTAGGAGAAGCTTACGACTCGCTTTACAGAGGCTCATTGCGCGCCAAATCTCTTTGAGAGAGGTTTTCTTGTCTAATGGTACAGAAGTTCATCAAGAAGCTCGTTCATTGACTGAAGCGTATCAAAATCTTGATTTTCGGAAAACTAACGCTTTGGGAATTAGGCAGCTGATAGTTGTAGAAAAAAACTTAGAATTTGATTTGGCTAAAATACCTGTGAAACTATTTGCTTTCAATGAAATTGACAGTGCAGGCGGAGACCTTTATACCTTGCTTGTGTCACATCATCATATTGTTTCGGACGGGTGGTCCGTAAAGGTGTTTGCTAAAGAGTTATCCGAACTCTACAAGCACTACCAAAACGGTACTGGAACGTATGCAACCAAACCACTGAAAACATCCGTCGTAGATTTTGCCGTATGGCAGCGTCATACTGCTGAACAGAATGATTTTTTGAGAAAAACTAGAGAACTTATACAAAGAATCAATGTCAAAGAAGTGACGAAACTGTTAAGTTATAAACAAGAAAGTGACGAGCAATTTATTTTTAAGCAGCATCGATTTTCTTTGCCGCCGATTCTAATTAAGGCAGTCAATGACCTTTCAATTAGGAGGAACGTTACGCAGTATGTAGTATTACTCTCGGCATTCATTTGTTTGGTTCGTCAGTTTTCTGATAACTATACATCTGATACAATCACCATCGGTAGTGCTGTTTCAGGACGGTCAACTTCAGAAGTTGACTCAATCATAGGGTACTTCTTGAACAATGTCATTGTAATGGTGAAAAACGTCACAACCAGTTCAAGCGTTACAGAAGTCATCAGCGAGGTGGGAGAGGCTGTGGAATTTAGTCGGAAGTTTGAAATGGTGCCGTACCATATGATAGTTGGAGAAATAAAGCAAGAAAGATTGTCTGATAACCCGTTATTCGACATTTATTTTAACTTTCGCAGTCAGATCGATTATCCAGTAATCAATATTGGCGGTGTTAAGTCAGTAGTAGAACACCTAACATCAAACACAGCATTCAACTTTTCATGTACTATAGACGAAATTGATGGGGAAATTCAAGTAACTTTAGACTACAACTCTTCAATGTATCCGGAAGAAATGATAAATGAAATGTGTCACAGATATCTTCGTTTACTAAGTGAAATACGACACAAAAAACAACCAGTAGTACCGCAGATCCCGAATAAAAACACAAGTGATTCTGATTTACACTACCCAGTTATTAATTGTATTAAAAAAACTGCGCTGATGGCTTCAAATATGAGTGCTGTAGCCAGCAAGGATGCAACAATAACATATGGAGAACTGATGGAAAAAGCTGATAATCTCTCGCGACTGATACAACAGAAATATGTAGTAACAAGATGCGAACTTATTCGCAGTGACGATATAATTCCTCTTCATATGCCGTCGAAAGATTCAATCATTGCCATTACTGCTGTCCACCTAGCTGGGCTCGCTTATCTTCCTGTGTACGAGCATTCGAGTGCAGAAGTGCTACCCAGGGTACTCAGAGACTGTAAGGCACCGTTTGTAATTACAAGGAAATTCATGAACCTCGATTCCAGCAAAATTTCATTAGCAAGGGTTACAAACTGTAATATAAGACAAAGAAGCAGCCCTGAAGCTTTAGCTTACGTTATCTACACAAGCGGATCCACGGGAGCGCCAAAAGGTGTCTGCATCTCATATTCAAGCCTTTCAAATTTTGTTACCTGTGCAACGCCACAGATGTTACTTTCACCAAAGCTTAACATTTATCACTGTGTCAGCACTGCTTTTGACGTAAGTTGTGCAAACATTTTTGTTTCACTTGCAAACGGTTCTAACATAGTCTGCTGCCAAAATCCACTATCTGCGACAACAGAGATTTTAGATAACAAAGTAAATTTTGCCTATCTTCCATCAGCACTTTTTGACTGTTTCGACCACAGTGAGTTGCGTAAACTTTCTATCTTAGACAGATTATTCGTCGGCGGAGAGTCACCAGCGGACCATCAGTTAGACAAATGCTTAGAGTTAGGTATCCAAGTTCGTCAGATATACGGTCCTACTGAAGCAACTATTTGGACGACAACAAACAAATGCGTACTGCACGAGGAATGTGGTGGTAGGGTCATAGGGTACGACATGGAACCTGACACGACTGCGGTGATCTCAAGTAGCGGGGAAAAAATAAAGGGATGCAGAATTGGGGAAATGAGTATCTGTAGTGAAGGAGTAGCTAGGGGTTACCTAAATGCAGATTCATCGAAATTTCAAACAAATTATAGGAGAAGCAAAGAGGACTGTGTTTTAGGACGGAAAATAAAATTGTACCATACTGGTGATTTAGTCACTCAAAGACGCTGTAAATACATATACCAGTGCCGTCTCGATTCGCAGGTGAAAATCCGGGGATTTCGAATCGACATTAGTGAAGTTGAAAGAGCACTCTACAGTTTTGGTCCTGCGGTAAAGCATGTGGTAGTTTTGAAGCAGGAAGCCACAAATAATTTGATTGCTTTTGTAAAAACTGCAGTTGAGAAGAAACAACTCTTCAATCACTTGTTAAAAATGATACCCAGCTATATGATTCCCCAAACGATCGTTCTAGTAGACCAAATACCTTATAATTCATCCGGTAAAGTAAACAAAAATAAACTAATAAAGCAGTATCTTGACACATATTTACAAAGTGGAGAAAAGAAAAAACAGAAACCAACAAAGCTGCAGCTTCAAATGATAAAGATTTGGCAAAACCTGTTATCGCTAAATGATCAGAGCTGGAACGCAGAAAATTTTGACGCGGATAGCAACTTCTTTTCTCTTGGAGGAAATTCGCTAATGGTCATACACTTGCAAAGCAAAATCCGAGAAGTTTTCAACACCGAAGTCAGCGTAATGAACATCTACCGGCACCCGACACTCGAAAAACAGTGCAACTTAGTCGAAGCGTCAAGTACGAAGAAAAAGGCTGCTGAAAGAATTGTACCTTTGCGAAACTCAAAAAAGGGTTCAAGGAATTTGTACGTCATACACGCAGTAGGCGGCTCTATCTATCCTTACTACGGTATTTTAGCTTCTATTCCAGATTTAATTAACGTGTATGCGATCGAATTCCACTGTGATCTGCCAGCAAAAACGTTGATGGAGTTAGCAGAATATTATGCTGAAATGGTAATCTTTTAACTTGACTTTTTTAATTTTTAAAGGGGGATCACGCTTTTTAAATACTTCATTGTTTATTCAAAGCAGGAAATTTTTTAAAATTAGTGCTCAATTATTTAGCAGTCAATCTGTTATTTAGCAGTATCGAATCAATCTGCATGCTTTAACATGTTCTTATGAATTTGACAGTCTTACCTCTGAAAACCATAGGCTGATTTTAAGAACTTAAAACTCGTCCTGCTCGCAAAAGTAATCATAAATAACCACTGGGCAGAGTTCGACGTCAACTATACTTGGTACCACCAACCAAGTAAATTTTTATGTCCCTCGGCTCCTTTTTGTATAGATGGGATATTTCAGGTAAGGAAGCACTGTGTTCATAAACCTTTTGATTTAATGGGTCATTCGCTTGGTGGGATATTGGCATGGGAAATGTTTCCGCTGTTGAAACAGTATTCAATATGTACTCCAAAAGTTGTGATGATTGATTCTTGGTCTATGGGCAATGAAAACTTAGAAAAAGCCGAAGTCATTAAATATATACAGGCGAGTTGATACAGCTGTTTTACTAAACAGCAGTCACTTCCACTGGATTACTGTTACAGCGTGAGGGGCACCAAAAAATAGCTTTTCCTCGACTGTTGTATTTGGGAAAAAGTCGAACATTTAAGAGGAAATCAATCAACTGCGACATAAAAATAGCAATGAACGTCAAACTTTATAATCAGAAATCCCTTAAACATCTTTGGGAAACTTTCCTTTGTTTCTTGTAACTTCAGCTACTGCTTTTCAGGCGCAAATGAAAGATATTCCTGGAAGAGAAGTATTTGCTGCTCGAACTGCAGTACTCGTTGATATGTTAAAAAATCATAAATTTACTAAACAAAATGTGCCAATTTATCTATTGAAAGCACGGGATGTTGGACCGACTCCGATAAAGCGCACGTTGACGTTCGTTTTTAAAATTAAAGCAGTACCTGCATTGAGGAACAACTGTGAATTTTATAGTTTATGTATGCAAAACAGTCTCTTTTCTGTCCGTAAAACGGTATATGATTCATTATCGTTCAGGTTGAAAACTGGAATTTTTTGGTGGAAAAGGCAGTTGTTTCTAAATATTGCTACTCAGGCCTCAAAAAATCTTGATTCTAGTTGGTTCAAATCCCTTGAAATAGCAACAACTTTAATCTCGCACAGTAAAAATTTGTTACAGTTTCCATCAGCTAGCTTCCGAAGAAGCACGAAGAACCAACCTTGAACGGAAGTATATAAAAAGCTTTTAGTATTTTGAATCTAATGTTTCAAATTGAACTTTTTCTTCTTCAAAAAATGCAAAACGCTTATTAAAAGGCTAATCTTAAAAGCAAATAAATGGCAGCCTCTTGAACTTTCTTCTCCTTCTGCAGCCGCCTAGGAAACTGGATGTGTTTGAGTAGTTCAGGATTTTAATTTACAGTACAACTTATTGCAACTGTCAAGAAACTTAGATGTATTCAATTGTTTTACGATTACAGTTTGAAGTGTGCTTGTGAGAGTATCTTTATTTCATTTGACTGATATTTAATGGAAAAAAAAAAATAAAAAAAAACATATTTAAGAAAAAACAGATTACATTACAGGTAAAGCGGTAAAAGTTTTACGAACATGTGGCACTCTCTTCGTTGGTGTTTCAGGAAGTCGAATATAGAGCTTTGGCATCGTTCAAATTGGACCAACGGATGGCATCAATACAGCACCAGTTCTATAAGGGTTTACTTGATCGACGGGGATCACGAAACAATCATGCACAGCGAGAATAAGAAAGCATTAACAACCGTTTTCAAAAGTATTTTTATAACGCCACATGAGAACAAAATGAACTGATGTTACTGCTCCCAAGATCTTAAAACGAAAAAAATAAACATCATTAACCTTAATTCTGTCACAAAATGAATTCAAATCTGGTAGATCCCACCTCACGAAACTTCAAAGTTTTTGATACAAATTTTTAAAACCAAATTTAACGAGTGGAAAATATCCAGCAGACAATTTTGGAAGTCGGCTTAAATTTCAAATTTGGTACATAGTTACAGTTCAAAGTGAGTACGTCAAAAACAATCTATTTTAGAGAACTGAAAAGAATTAGTCAAGTGTTTTTAAAAGACTAAGGAATATTACAACTGAACCTCCTCTGTGGATATCTTTTGCCTAAAATTCCACATACTTAATGAGCCGACTTGCTATACTTTTTCATTTCCAAAATTCTTAATGATGTAAGAAAAAAATTCCGCAACATTCTAAGCAGTTGATCAATTTTTCATCACAAGTTTGCTAAAAGTTATAAAATTTTACATTTTTTGCTTCCTTGCAAATTCGGATGCAGAAAGTAGCTTTTTGTTGACTTCTGGGGCAGTGCCGACAGAGGAATGCAGCAACAACATCGACTTCATTTTTTTTTTGCTTTTACCATTCTTTAGCTTAATCTTTCAGGCTGCTTACTTGTTATACTAATTTAATACAGCTTGCTTCTTTGCTAAACCAATGACAATACTTCTGTATGACCTTAAACGTAACGTCGTCCATGAACTTTGCAAAACGCTAACGACTTGGCATAAAAATAAGAAGCTCTGATTGTAGAGCGTCATATTTTGGAAGTGAACTTACCGGTGAAGTAAACCTGCATATTGCTATTTGTTCTTCTCAACTTTTCCTTCTATGTACTGAAATCCTGATACCAGTGGCTACTATAAACGTTCAATTTGCAAACTTCTTTGTAACAACCAAGTACCACAGCAAATAACTATACTATACAGAGCTTCAATGGTACGTTGAAGTCTATGCAAAAAATGTGACTTGTTTGAAGTTGCCAAGCACCTTGCATAAAAATACTATTTTACAACTTTGACATTTTGTAAAAAGTTACGGTGCAGTGCAATGAGTTACGGTGCAGTTAGCAGGGTGGGGCCACATAAAATTCCCTGCTGATGCAGCATTTTAGCGCCTTTAACGATTTCAGTTTCACCTGAAATATTGTTGTATTGAGACATAATTCAGTCTGACTAGTTTAATAACAGATATTAAATTTAAAATGTTTTGCTGCTGAGTAAATTTAAGAAAAACTTTTGCATAAAAGTCATCATAATGGTTACTTTTTCAATTTGTGTTGTATAACGTCTTTAAATCACTTTTTTGAGCCAGAGTTTTGTTATAATCTCTGCAGTTTTGGCCATATTGCTGAATACTACGCAATAGGAGCTTGCAAAGAAATACCGGTGGACGAATGCTCAATCCACGTTCCACTCCCTTAAAGTATACTTGAAAGAAAATCCTGGGACCGTTACCACTTTTTACAGCTCTGCAGCAGTACCAGACGGTGTCATCCACGATGCAGTATCCGCAAACTTATTTGAACGCCAATTGTTAAGATTTTCGAATTATACATATACATATTTTTGATTTCTCTTGAATGAAACAAGCGTACTTTTCCTAAGTGCTTTCGAACTGTGTTCAAAAGACGTAAAACTTCTTGAAAACCTGCCTAGATCTTTGGAAGAGCTCACTTAAAAGGGTCTTGTAGCTAGATCAAGAAAATTTCGTTGTAATGCCATATTTAAATACGAATAATGTAATCTCGCCCATAAGTTGCACATAACATAGATTCAGAAATTATAAGGAAGTAGTTAACTAATGGTGTTTGGGAGCAAAATTTGAAAGGGAGTCTTAAAATACGGCTTAGTGCATTCAAAGAGAGCTAAATATGTTAAAACGATGACAATTCCAAATGAAGCAACAGGCGTAGAAATAACAGTTTTAGAAGCAGTTTGAAAAAGCAACAACTGACCATTTTTTAGCCAAGGTGTAACTAGAGAAGACACGCTCCTAATGCTGATGATTCCTTATAACTAGTGGTGTAAATAGTAATAAACAAATTCCTCGTTGTTTTTTATAGGTACAAATTTGGCTGGTGTCTCACACTATTAATTGAACAACGCTTCTGAAAAACGCTGAGTAAAACCGTGCATCCAATGCGAATTATGCTAAGAAGCAATCAAATCTTTGTGGACCGACTTAGTCAGCTGTTCATTCCAATGTCAAGAGAGATATTGATGACCAAAATTTATTCACCGTGCAAAAAATAACTTTCTCGGGGAGGTTAGTCTTCAAACAGAAAAGAAAAAGTTAAGACTACTCTTCATTTTGTAACTTTTCTAAATGAACGCGCCACACGAACTGACGACTACGGCAATCAACATTCAGTTTATCTTGCTGGAAAATTTAATTTTTCTAGCTTTCAGGAATTACAGGCGAAGTGTCTGAATAATAAGCCAACAAATTACCCTTCTTCATCTGCTAGTTTTCGCCTTCCGCAAAATTTTTTGTTATCGGTCGACAATGCCGAAAACTTCCCATTTTTAGTGCGTTTCTTACTGTTGGAAAAGACGCGACAGAAGAAACTGACATTCTCCACCCGTTTTTTTTTATTTGAAAATGTACAAGCTCCTTAGTCTTCTAGTGCCTTTCAAGTAAACAAGGTTATATGGAACAAAAATGTCATTCAACCAATCCAGCACCATACAACAAATTACTGCCACTGAAAATCTCTTGAATCATATCTTCGCAACGTAGAATTCAGCCCGCCACAAATGAGTATTTCAACGTCGGAAGGGCATGCTCTTTCAAGCTTGGACTTTTGCCAACTTGGCACTTATAATTCTCCTTTCCCTGGTCTTCAATTAGAATTTGAGATCGCTTAAACTGATGGTTAGAGCTGTACAACTAATTTAAGGATTTTTTCTTTTGTTTATAGGTGCCTTCCTTGTTGTAATTCTTCTCTTGCTTTTTTTATTTCTTTGTTCTGTTAGTCACATTATTTTTGAGGCATTTTAAATTGCAGTTCTAAAATAGACGTGTCTTAGTTGCTCTTTGTAATCCCGTTGGTTTTGCATTCTGTAACGCAAATTCATGAATTTACACACACTTTTCTTCTTGGTGGTGTTCTACTGCATTTGAACTTTTCGCTATGGCATAATTCATTATGAGTACATAGGAATTTAGGTCTAACAATAAAAAAATGGTATCTCGTCCTTTGGAAGACACCGACCGTACGTTGTGGATGGGAGATTTAGACAGTACATGGGATGCAAGTTATATTACTGAAGCTTTTTCTCGAATGGGCGAAGAAGTCCTAAACGTGAAAATCGTTTTTGATAAACGGACAGGAAAGGTACATTCGGGATAATATTCGTACTCGAAATATTTTTCTTTTTTGTTTGTAACACTAGTTAAACTGAAGTGAGTGAAGACGTGTCCCCTTTTTTTTAAAAGGAATCATGAAGGTCTTTTTAAGCTCAAGTTTTGCATTATCAGATAAGGTGATAAAAACTTCAACTGAGAATTGTTATTGGTAGTGTGAGCTTTCAGCCGTATTGTTTCGTCGAATTCACTGATCAAGAGAGTGCTCGTAGGGCGATGTTGCATATCAATGGTAAACCAATACCAAAGGCTAATCCGCCCGCAGTTTTTAATTTGTCGTTTGCCAATTCGTCAACTACATCGTAAGTTATGATGCTAGGCCGCATAGGAACCGTTATGTATAGTTTCTTACCTCTCCTCACTGCACTTAAATACTCCGTAGTTTTTAGTTTTTACACCCAAAGTTTTTGTAGGTATACGGAGTATAACCTGTTTGTAAACAACGTTCCTCATAATATGGATAACGCATCGTTATTTTTGGTAGGTGTTCATAAAACTTTGCTAATCCCAGCGTGTTCGGTTAGTCTTCTTCTCTAAGCGGACTTTTGGTTTTACGCTTTATTTTCAAGGTGCAATATACATTTTAATTTACTCAAATCTAGCTATTTAAATGCTTCTGGTAGAAGATAAGAATTCTCAAATTTTATATACTTCTTATTGTAGATATTTGGAGAAAGATATAGGTCATGCAGAGGTGCAAAAGTTTATCGCAATTCGGATGGTTCTTCGAAAGGTCAAGGTTTCGTGCGTTTTTCCGATCAGACGGATCAGCAGAGAGCACTGGTATCCAGTTCCATAATTCTTGTTCACTTTTTTTTTAAATTCACTTAGTAGCTCTTTCCTCACATTGTTTTTCATCCTCTAACTGTTCTGAGTTTAATGAATCCGATAAGTCTCCTCAAAGTTCGGAAATATTTGTTCATTTTGCTAACTAGGAGTAGCGTTTTCTTACGATGAGGTCTGAATTACGCTTTAGGATTTTTTGGTCGCAAATATAGTAAGATTTTAACATGCAGCTTCAAGTGTTCAGCTTCATCTCTGTTTGCCATTTTGCGCTATACGTTTAACACTCATTTACTTTCTAGCTGGAAATGAACAAGTATAGAGTTGATGGAAAACAATTGATTCTTAAACTGGCTCCACCAAAACACAAGGCCCCACGTCAGAACAGACAGCAAGCACAAAACAGTTATGATTCATTGTCCTATTATAGGCATCCGCAGGTTTGTTTTGAACTTGAAAAAGATAAAAGTTTTTTTGGTAGGAGCCCTTTCTTTATCAACGTTTTGTACTCACTTCCCAAGCTCCTTTCTCACATAGTTTGCACTGTCCCTTTCTATATGATAAAACAGTTCCTAAAGACACCGGCAATCCTAAGAAAATTTATTTAAAATTTTTATCGGTTTGAATTCAAGGAGACCAGTACCATGAGCAGTTCTTATGTAGAACCAAGTCCCAATCCAGTAACCGGCTACCAAAGTACAGTTGCTTCAACTTCTTACTCATACCCACCAGTAGAGGCACCTCCACCTGTACAAACGGTATGCTTCCGAATTTCTTTTCAACTCTTTGCGATCCCTGTAGTACAACCTTTCTGTTTAGATTTGCTTCCCAGTGGTAGAAGGTGGAGCTATTGTTGCATATGATAGTTATGGAGTGGCCCCAGTTGGTGATATAAGTGCCGAAGAGAGTAATGAACGACTTTTGGCAAATGGCGAAGAACTATTTAGAGCTTTGGAGGAGAGCAGATGGAGTAAAGTTGTTCTTGATGCAAATGATAGAAAAAATCTTTTGCGATCTCTGACTGAAAAAATGTTGGCTTGACACAACATGCTGTCCCGACTGTAGTTTTTAGCCCCTTAATTTCGCGGGAGAGTCTATTAATGGAATTGAGGTTTTTTGTTACTCGAGTGGTAATGTTAAATACTAATCACTGAATTGCGTGCCACCACTTAAAGTGGATTAGCGGAACTCTCCAGTACACAAATTCTACAGGACCATTACCCATCGGCGAAACCATTGTTCCTCTTTGCATTGGTTTTGTTCTTAAAGCCCAATAAAAGTTGAAAATAATCTTTTCAAAAGCGTGACTGAGACCATGTAGTTCATGCCCTTGATGTTCCTGTACCACGAAGTCTGGCCGGATACAAGTGTGGTGTGGAGACCATTTTTCTGCACGAACTTGGAGACCAAAGTCAAGTATCTGGACCGTCGTACGGCACCACCGGATCGTGCGAGCTGGGGCCCGCTAA